AATAACGCGATTTTACGACTCTTCGACCGTCGTAATTAAGTAAAGGTAAGTAAAGAAGAAAGCAAAATAATAAACTACTTTTTGCTATTCGAAATCTTTAATTTAAGCTTTAATAACGACGATTGCGATTGCATAAAAGTCTTTTAAAAAGTAAAGAACGTATTAAAATTTAAAGATAGATTTAAAAAACTTTTTAACTTAGACGTTTAAACGAAGCTCCGCTTTAGCCGTAAAGTCTTACCGTCCGCTACCGATCTATTAAATAAAGTCTTTTGCGAAGTTTATACTTTCGAATACGTTAAATACCTTAGGTTAGCTACGAAGAGCTTTATAATAGTAATGATCCGTTCTAACTTGTATCAATTTATTAAAGCTTTTTAAATTAACGCTCTTAATAACTTTATGCTTTACTCGAATAATTAATCGATGTTCGCTATTAAGACTAAAGGTAATACTTTAACTAAGAGAATGTTTAGCTTAAGCTTTTCTAAATTTAAAGCTAAGCCGATGTCTTTTAATAAGTTGAACTAAAGCATTAGCTTAATAAGCATTGCTTAGAAAAATAGCTCTTTTAATACTATAGATGCGAGTAGCTATACGAAAGTTTAGCTTATATTAAAAGCTTCTTTTTTAAACGATAAGCACGGCAACTAGACTTTCTTTATTATTATAAATAAAAAGATCTAGATATACTTATACTACTTTCGAACTAATGATTTAAAAAGAGCTTCGATTAGTGCACTTTTTAATATAATACACTCCTTGACTTAGCAAATCTTTCGAAGTTATTATAAGTTATACCTTGCTACCTTGCTTAATCGCCGAAACGGGAATTATAAGCTTATCGCTTATTCGAAACCCTTTTAGCTTTTTAAATGTAATAATAGTGCTCGAGTGATTGCGACTAAATACGACGCTAATATTAAACGATTCGTAAACCGTGGTTCACGAATAAAAGACAGAGTTTTAAATTATTATTTAATGTTTTACGGCGTAAAGAATCAGATCGAAAGCTTGGCTATTTAGCTTAAGAGCTATACCTACGATATTACTTTTAAAAAGATCGTTAAATAAAAAGCTTTTAAACTTAAGTCGAAGACTTTAGATGCTTTTAAAAATATTGCGCTTCGCTAACCTCTCGTTATAATTAATGATCTCGCTACTTTTATATCCGTTATTACGAAACAAAGTGTTTTCTTAAATATAAACGCTTTTTAAGATTCTTTTTGCGGATAAGCTATCTTTTTTAATAATTATATCGCTTTACTAAACGATAGCATCTTAGAAAATAAAGTTAGCTTTGCAAAGCACGTTTGCATTATCGTTTTAAGACGTATGCTGCTAACCTTTCGGTAAAGAGTTATTAATAAATTAAGCTAGCTTTTCGCTATTATAATTTAGTTAGATTACGTCAGTTTCGTATTAAAAGCTTTGATTAAAAGAATAAACTAAAACGAACTTCGAATAATAAAAGAATTGATCGTTATCTTTGCTATATCTCGGACTTAATTTTAAGAACACTTTATTAAGCATAAGAAAAAGTTGTTTTCGGTATTTAAAAAAGGATTTGCTATCGTTTTAAATACTAAAGCTAAAACTTACGGAGCTAAGTCTTTTTTTAAAAGCAAAAGCCGCCGAGCTAACGATCTTATAGACGCCGATAAGTTAAAAGATTTTAAAGAAAGCTTGCGATCGATTGAGTTGTCTTTTAACGACTCCGATTTAAGTATAGAGATTATTTTAAAAAGTGCGAAATCTATTCGTAAACCACGATTTACGAGTTAAATCAACAACTTTAAAATTTTTTTTTTTTAACTAGAATTCTTAAACCGCGCATTCGATAAAACTATAAAAGCTTTAAATGATTTGCTCGAAGACGAAGACGACTTAATTAATAGCTCCGAACTTTATTTTAGTTTCGCTAACTTCCGTCGGCCAAGTTCATACTTATCAACGATATTACTAATAAGCGCAAGAACGATACGCGCTCTTTTACTTTTAAAGATGCTATTGCTAGCACGTTATCGTTTAATGCTAGCCTTATTAAGAAAAGAAGACCTTCTTAGCTTAAGAAGAACGAAGGAGTTAAAGACGTAAGCACGGAAAGAGATTATAAAGAAGCTGCTAAAGCGTAATTTAAATGTTTAGATGTTTAAAGTTTAAAGATAAAATACCCTTCCTTTTTTTATATATTAGATTTTTCTTTCTTTTATACCTTCTTTTTTTTCTTTTTTGCTTAATAGTAAGCGGGGGCGCTTACTTATTTTATAAGAGGACGGATATAAACACTTTGCTTAATAAGGTACCTGCTATAGCTATTAAGGCTACACTAGACGGACCTATCTTTTATAAAAAGGCATATATCTTTTAGCTAGAATAATCAACGAGCTTTCTATTTACCTTTTCTAACACTTCTTTTGTAAGACCATAGGGTTTAGCCTCAAAGCCAGGCTTCTGTACAGTACATCTTTTTGAATGCTTCTACAATAATCTACTTTAAGCAAACTTTAATTGCTAATTTATATTAAAATCTCGAACGTCGAAAACGAGTTGAAAGGTTTTATTAATGCAATTACGAATCGATAGCATAAAAAGAGTAGCGGAAAGAGTTTTCTCGAAAGAGTCGGTATTTTTAGCCGTTTTTAGTTTAATTTGCTTAGCAGCTTTATTTTTACGCTTTTTTTCGATTCGTTTATCGAAAGCAGCTTTTAAATAAAGGTAAGCTATTACGCATTCCGATTCAAAATAGTAAGGTTTCTTGCAATAATTATAAATTATAATAGACTTATCTTTTCTTATAAGTTTGCCGGGTTTTTTATATACGAAAAATGCTTTGCTTAAAGAATGCTATATTAATTGCTCTTTTTTACGAATAAAAGTTATAAAGTTAACGAAAGTAGTTTTAAATTTATCGCCGTCGATATAATCGTTATTCGAAACTTAATTAGATTTAAAGTTTTCGTACGAAAACGATAGCTAATTAAAATAAACTGTTAGAGTAAGAAATTCTTACACTACGAGGTCTGTGCTATTGCTGCTAAGCAACTCTCGAAGATACGGGTAGTGACTGCCAGTTGGAAGAAAGACTAGCTAGCGTAAAAGGAGAACTGTATACAGTTCTCTTTCTCTTTATAAGGATTCTCTCTTCTTTAGATAATCGAAATCAATACCTTTTAGAACTACCTTCTGCTTCCCTATCAAAAGGAAGAATTATCTTCTTACAGGTTATAAGCCTTTGATGCCTAAAAAGTGACGGAACACGCAACTCGCAATACGCAACCCGCAAACTCGTCAATTGACTTGAGTTCTCGCCCTGTGCGAAGTACTACCTGATAGTAATAAGAAACCAACCCCCCCCCCCCCCCCTTTATTAAACCATCGATCGTCGCTCAGCATCAATCCTTTATCAATTCATTAGCATAGCTACTACTCGAGAAAAATTCGCTAGAACAAGACAATAGAAAGGCGTAAAGACCTTTACCAAATCGAATTCAAACGAATAGTTCGAAACCATCGAGACGGTCGCATAAAGCGAGGATGTCGCTTATCTATTAGACCACTCGGAATCCGAATACTGCTATACAACAATTACTAAAGCACCTTTGCAAAGATACGATGTTAGTAACGGCACTTAGAAAGTCTTGAAGGGACTCGATAAAGATGAATACGATAAATTGATATACGAGAATAAAAGTCTTTTAAAGATATTTCGGGTTAAGACGGCGAAATTCAAACTCAACCTCTTTCAGAAGCTTAGCGAGTTCGATCGTTAAAGGATTAAAGACCTCCTCGACATCAAATCCATGATCTAAAAGCTAAAGACTATCTACACCGCTACTACATTCCGATCCATATAAATCAAGCTCTAAACCCTTATCAATTTCCGCATAGACTTTAGAATTTCCTTTAGCAATAACTAGGAACGCGTCTTGGTGTGCCGCCGTAAGGCACATAAAGGCCTAAGGAAAGATCAATTCGACGATGATTACTGTTAATTGATCTTCTACACTAGACTTATGCTTTTAAAGACATACACACCGTTATGCGATAGCTTCACCTCTTTTATAACAATAGATCAGAAGTTAAAACGTTTGGATGAGAAATAAGAGTCTATCACTAACTTAAAACCTTAAGAAAAAGCATTCGCATCTTATTACTCGAGTAACGAAGGAGCTTATACGGCTAGCCGACAAACGTCTTACAAAAGAGCTCCTTCGGGTCGATAATCGCGCAGTCGTCGACGATCTCGATCTCTTACCTTCAAAGCTGAATGTTTTAAATGCGGTTCTAGCAAGCATGCTAGTCTTATATATCAATTCGCTAAGATTAGTTTCAAGGCCGCTAAAGCTGCCCGAATCTTTAAGGAAGGAAAGGAATCTAATAAAGCGTCACGGACATATCAGCCACCGTTATCCAAAAGAAGACCGATATCCTTTAGCCTTTTGTACAAAAACAACTCTTTACCACCTTACAAAACAAAGTCCAATTAGCGTGCTAGAAGCAAATCTAATAGCACTCGTAAAAATGAAAAGAGATTTGCCGCCGACATAGGATCTGATTTTCTAAGCGAGACCTTCGACATCGAAGAGTTCGCTAGCTTATCTTAGGAAAAGCGTAGTAAGCTCCTACCTATACTAGCAGCCGCCGACACTAGTTGTACTAGCCATATGACTGATTCTCTGTCCCTGTTTAGCAACCTATTGACCCCATGCCGAAAAAAGATCCAAGTCGAAAGAGGAAAGCTTTATTCGGATAGCGTTAGAACTGCTCAGATATCGTTGTAAAGCGAGAGGACTATCTACTTAAAAGATACATTGCATGTTCTTGGTTTAAGATGCACATTAATATCGGCAAAGAAGCTTGCTAGCTTTAGTATTATAAGATAATTCGATGATCAGAAGATGATCTTTATACGTAAGTCTAATAATATGCTTTTGATTAAAGCCAAAGTGCGGAATAGATTATATATCTTTTCGAAGTTTTTTAAGGAAGCTAATAGAATGTCCTTCGCTACTAAAAGCACGCATCACGCCAACTACGACGATGCTAATGCTAGCGTTATGCTTATACACGTAGATCATATTGATCTTTCACTCCAAATAGACTCAATTAACAGCTGGACGTTACTAAGGCCATTGAGACCTTGCCTTTCGAAGCGCACTCGATACTCAGCTAGGTATGCTGCTTTCGAAGCAGCAGAAGACCTTCAATTTGCTACCGCTAACCCTTACGAGGCCTTGAGTAATGACAGCGAAGTCTTTTCGGTAGACAACCAAAAGCCTAGCGAGATAGAGCGTTTGCTACCCGCTTTAGAGTTCAGCGGCTCTAAAGATAATATATCGAAGAGAGAAAGGAACAAAGTGGCACGCAAGATTAGAAAAATCGCTATCTAACAAAGCGAGATTCGCTTTAAAGCCGCACCTTTTACATTAAAGAAACGTCGCTTACAACGAAAACTCTCTCGGTTTATTGCTTATTATAAGCGCTTCAACCATTGCAGCACCGAGGCACTTTCATTATTACATACGGTAACAGATATCAAGAAGATTGTGATTCTTTTAGTTATCCTTTTATATGAGTCGTGCGCTCGACAAAAGATATTCAAGAAAAAGCTTAAGAAGCTCGCTGAGCATAGCACTATTATACTTAAGAAACTCAATTTTAACGTAGCTAGTCCATTCCCACTATCTATAAAAGGCTACCGATATTTTAGCGAGCTTATAGATAGCTAGACTCGCAAAACCTGAACCCTTTTATTCCGAGATCGGAAAGAAGTTAATAAGATATTAACCAAGAAGAAAAGAGAGCTCGAGCGACAATCGAGCCAGCTTTTATTAGCAATAAGTACCGATAATGCGCCGGAAATCCTTGAAACTATCACCGCTTGAGCTAAAGCAAAAAGAATATCTATTCACAACACGAAGCTTTATTCGTCACACTAGAATAGCCCTGCGGAGCGCTCTATCAAAACTACCGAGCACTACATTAAGACGGCACTTAATAATGCCGAGCTGCTCGTCGAGTTCTGGTATAAAGCTGCTAAAGCGCAGGCATACACTCGTGCTAAGCTACGTCGAGGCCTTAAGATAATGGAAGATGTTATAAACGAAGTAACGAGGCAACCTTTCCGTGTAAAGTATAAGATATCCTCTTAAAAGGCTTGAACGGGGAAAGTGCCGAAGGTTAAAGACTATATCAAGACGTAAAGCTGTAAAATCATTGCTCACGTTCCTCGAGAATCCCTTTTAGCCAAAACTAGAAAAGATAAGCTTATGCTCTCGGGTAAAGAAAGGATCTTTATAAGCTACGACGAAAACACTACTTCTTATTATAAAGTGTACATTCCCGAGATGCACAGCACCACTATCTCGTCTAACGTCAAGTTCTTTAAAGATATTTCTAGCAAAGCGATCGACGATTTTAAACTTTAAGTTGAATTGTCCGACGGTACATTCAAAGAATCAGATAGCACGTACAATCAGCATGTCACTCGTGCGCGTAAAAGACGGCCAAGATTCGCCAACCTACTTACAATAGACTCGGTCCGTAATAAGCAGATTAAACACCTTTTAAATTCCGTCATAAGAGTAAAGGAAGGATTAGCCCTTAGAACTAGAAATCACTCACCCGATAAGACGATTAACCATAACCTCGGAACGCCCTTTATACTAGTAGCGACACCCCTTCGCGTTACACGATCTTAAACGAAGAATGCTGCTCTTCGGAATAAAGAATCGAAGAGAGCCGAAGCCACTTCGCCTCCAAAGTCAACATCGCTTATTACCGAGACGAAATTAATCGAAGACCTTGATAATAAACCGAAAGGCCCGACTCCTTTTGGGCAAGACCACCAAGTTGCACAAGTTACTTCTACAAAGACCATCGGTACAAAACGGAAGGCCGACAAAGAGCTTCTTAATGCTTTTAAGACATCAGTCCAGCCCCGGCAAAGCTGGAACTTGCCCGGTATTAAGCTAGATAAGCGTGCAAGTGATACCCTTGACCCCGGTAAACGATATGCCAGGACTTCTACGTTCCAAACCTCGCTTATTACAAGGAAGAGAAAAAGCTTGTTGTTAACAGAAAACGAGAAGGCTATAATGGCCATCTTCGATTAGTTTGATGAAGCTAATAATATGTCGAGTGCCGAAGAGATAGCAATGATAGCGCACGCAGCTAAACATAACATCCTTATTCCTATTACTTATAAAGAAGCTGTAAAACATCCTATATACAGCAAGAGATAGAAGGAAGCTATTGATGCCGAGTTTGCTACGCTTATTACTAATCATACATAAGAGGAACGCATCCTTCCGCTTGGAGCTAATTTTATTAGCTGTAAATAAGTGTTTACGCTTAAGTTCAAAGCAGATAAGACTCTTAAACGGTTCAAAGCTAGGCTTGTAACGAGAGGTTTCTTTCAAATGTACGGCGTTGATTATGACGAGACATTTGCACCTACAGTCAGAATAGCGACCCTTAAAGCATTCTTTGCAATAGTTGCTTGTAAAGATATAGAAACACGCTAATTCGATATTAAGAACGCTTTTACCGAGTCTATTCTTAAGAAAAAGCTATAGATGAAAATGCCGAAAGGCTTAAAGCGCACGAAGCGAGGGTCCGCGCTCCGATTACTACAATCTTTATACGGCCTTAAGCAGTCTGCACGCGATTAAAACCTTCTAATAAAAGAGGAGCTCTTTAGTTAAGGATTCGTACAAAGCAAGGCGGATCTTTGCTTGTTTGTACACCTCGAGAAAGAAATCAGGCTCTTGATATACGTGGACGACTTAGCTACAGCTGCCTTAGACGTTAAGGAGCTCGATTGGTTTGAAGATCGCTTACAATCACGATTTGTCACTAAGCTAATAGGCGAAATATCAATGATCTTCGGAATTAAGGTTACCAAAGACAAAGCAAAGAGGACTATTAAGCTTGATCAAGAGATATACTTAAACAAAGTTTTAAATAAGTTTAAGATCCCGAACCCCGTTTTTAATATAAAGAATGTATCCACACTTATAGATAGCTATAACGATCTCCGCTTAGCTTCGGACCAAGATAAGAAGGTTGATGCTACTTAGTACCGTAAGGTAATTAGTTCTTTAATATATGCGATAGTATACATACGCTTAGACGTCGCCTTCGCACTCGGTCGCTTGAGCCAATACATGCAAGACTTAGCAGAACATCACGCTTTAGCGCTAAAGCGCTTGATGCGCTACTTACGGTTCACTATCTCTTTCGCTATCTCTTTCGGTCTTTTAAAGGACTTAGTAGTTTATTCGGATGCAGACTACGGTAGCGATAAGGATAGCAAGAAAAGCATCTCCGCTGCAATAGGCCTTATAAGAAGAGGGCCAGTATTCTTCGGAAGTCGCAAACAAACCTTTATAGCCACGGCTACTATAAAAGCCGAATACGCAGCTATATGCTATACCGCGAAGCAAGGCCAATAGGTTGCCTAAATCCTTCGTGATATAAGATTCGATAGCTATATAGCTAAGAATCATCAAACTGTACAGATGAAAAGAGACAATCAAGGCGCTATTGCACTCGCTAAAAACCCTTATCTTACGGAACGATTAAAACATATCGACATCGCTTATCATTATGTTCGCGACTTAATAGACTAAAGGAAGTCTTTCGTGTCTTATATACTTATAGCAAAAATGGCCGCCGATAGTTTTTTTAAACCTTTACTGAAAGTCTTGTTTTAAAGATTTGTTAAGATGATAGGTATGACTGATCGATCGAAGCTAGTATCCAACTCTTAAATACACGAAAGACTTCGCTTAGCTTCTTTATATATCGAAAAAAGAGATTAGTTCTCTCGACAAGACAAAGAAGCAGTAGGAGCAGTGGGAGCTATTAGCAGCACCAGAGTAAGAGTATTAAAGTAAGAAATTCTTACACTACGAAGTCTGTGCTATTGCTGCTAAGCAACTTTCGAAGATACGGGTAATGACTGCTAGTTGGAAGAAAAACTAGCTAGCGTAAAAAAAGAACTGTATACAGTTCTCTTTCTCTCTATAAGGATTCTCTCCTCCTTAGATAACCGAAATCAATACCTTTTGGAACCACCTTCTGCTTCCCCATCAAAAGGAAGAATTATCTTCTTACATAAACTTTAATTATTTATAAAGCGGAAAGTTAAGTATTATTACCGAGAAGCTTAAGTTGTCCGTTTAAGCGTATAAATTCGTTATTAAAAAAAATGACGTCGTTGAATTCGTTAATACAAAAAGCGAGCAACGCGGATTAAAGACGATAAAACGTCGCGACGCTTTTAAATCGAAAACGTTCTTTTAAATCTATTAATAATAGCTTCTTAAGATCGTGCTTTTTAAAGTTTCCGACGATCGTAAAGCTTATTCTTTTTCTTTTAACGAAGTCTGCGGCGATTAGCTCGAGTTTATTACGGATAAAAAAGTAGCTTTAAGTTTAAAGTTCGTTTTACGCGTCGAGTCTTTTTTTAAACGTAGACTCTGTTTCGTTTAAAAAGCGAGTTGGTCGGACTCTTGTACTTTTAAAGATTTTTTCGTAAAAGTAGTTTTTATTAATAAAAGCGAAGTCGATACGTCGAAAGAACTCGATTTAGTTTTTTTCGTCGAAAAACAAAACGGCGAAAAGAGCGAAAGAAAAAGTAAATTGAATATCCGCAATTATTCTTAGAAATCGAAGTCTTAATAAGCTTAATAGAATTTTTAACGTTAGCTAATAATGCCGAAGTAATATTTATCGAGATATTCTTGTAAATAATAAAAAGGTTTTTTAATTCGAAAGCCGAAGAATAGAATAAATGAAAAAGAGCAAAAAGGCTTTTCGTTCGAGGCCGATAAAAGAAAAATATTTAAGTTTAATTCGGTATTAAAAAGTTGGAAATCAAAATTAAAATTACGATTTTTAATAAAGTCGAAAGATTAAAAAAAAGTATTAATAAGTGTTTATATATAGTTTATAAAAAAATTAAAGCGGTAAAAGAAAATAAAGTTCAAAGGTTAAAAGATCTTGCGAGTTTTCGTTTTCTTTAATAGTACGAAAATATCGTCCGTAAGAAAAGCCTTTTTTAAAGTCTCTCGAAGTTCTTAATTAATTAAGCTATCTGCAACGTCTTGATTTATAATTAGTTTGCGATAAGATAAATGAAATTAAAAATGAGATAAAGAATTTATTAAAATTATTCGAGTTTTATTTTATCGTAAAAGCTTAAGCGCGTTAACGTAATGCGGCTAAGTCGTTTAAAATATAATAGTTTCGATAAAAGAGTTTTCGGTTAATGCTAGATATAAATAAAGTATATATGCAAAATAGATTTATAAAAAATTAAATCTCGAAAGATTAAGGTTCATTTCGGCGTATTCCGTCGAAAAGTTTATAAATATATATATATATATATAAACTTTAAGAAAATATTATTATCCGAGATAAATTATTATTAAAGTGTTTTTAAAAACAAAAAGTCGTATGTTTTTAAATAAAAATATAAAAAGTTAACGATAAACGCAAGCAATAAAGAAAAAGAGTTGTGTATATCGTTAGAAAATAGTTTTAAAAAAAAATATCGTATTCCGTTTCGTTTTGATTTTGTTTTTGCAAAAGGTTCGATGCTAAAGAAGTCGCAAAAAGTATTAATTATAGTATTTCGACGCTAAAGAAGTCGCAACGGAAGCTTATAACTTATTAAACGGTAATACGAAAAAGAAGATAAGTAAAAAGATTCTTAATTGATTATCTAATGAACTTAAAGAGTAGCCTTTTACTTATACATCTAGAGAAGTCTTGACACGTAATAAGTCTATCACCTGATCACATTCGATATTATATTCGCATTTACGAGCTATTCAATTAGTTTTTAATAACCTTCGAATTAATCGGGAGCGGATTTTGCAAGTCATTTTAACGCTACTTCGTTATAATTTTCATTTTGCAATCTGTCTTTTTCAATTATATTTACTCTTTATAACTAACACTTATTACTTTTAAGAACTTTAATTAATTTTCAAAAGCTTTAATCACAAAATCAATTGCTATAATAATGGACGATAAAATAAAAAAGGTTCTCTTAATTAATAAAACGAACTTTATAAGTCGTAGCGATTTTTTAAAATAAATTACGAATTATAAATATTTTATTAAGCGCTTTAGCATAAAATAATACGCAGCTCTTTGTATTAGCGTAAAGGAACTTGCTTTTTTTATTAAGCAAATCAGATTAAAAACGAAGTCTATTATAAAGATAATAACGGAGCTTAATAACGAATACTATTAGAATTAAAAACGCTAACGAAAGGCTTAAAATGAATAGCATTTAAGATTTCTTGCAAACGATCTTAATAAACTTTTACGATTACGCAAAGCTAAATTCGAAAACGTTCGAAAAGCGTATAACGATAATATAAAAGAATACAACTTCGCTATCGCTAATTAAAAGATCTTAAGTAATAAAAGCAATCAAATTATAAACTAGATCAAATAAACGATTAAAAGCTTTATTCTCGAAGAAGCGATTTTAGCGGCTATAAAAGCGGATAATGTAGAAGCACCGAAAAAAAGACGTGTCATATAAAAGCCCGACACTAAGGCTAAACTTTATAGTCTTACAAAGAAGTGCTAAAAAGATAGGTGGAAAGCTCGTTAATTGTTTTAGCTAAAAGATGTGTGCCCTCTTATAAAAGATAGGTCCGTTTAGTATAGCCTTAATAGCCGTAGCAAGTACCTTATTAAGCAAGGTGTTTATATCCGTTTCCTTATAGAATAAATAAGCGCCCTCGCTTACTATTAAGCAAGAAAAGAAAAAAAAGTAAGTATAAAAAAAAAAAAAAATCTAATATATAAAAAAAAAGAAGTATCTTGTTTTTAAATTCTAAACATTTAAACTACGCTTCAGCAGCTTTTTTATAATCTCTTTTCGTGCTTACGTCTTTAATTCCTTCGTTCTTTTTAAGCTAAAAAAGTCTTTTTCTTTTAGTAAAGCTAGCATTAAATAATAACGTATTAATAATAGCATTTTTAAAAATAAAAAAGCGCGTATCGTTCTTGCGCTTATTACCGATAGCATCGTTAATAAGTATAAACTTAGCCGACGGAAGGTTAATAAAGCTAGAATAAGGTTTAGAGCTATTAGTTAAATCGTTTTCGTTTTCGAACAAGTTATTTAAAGCTTTTATAACTTTATTAAATACGCGGTTTAAAGATTTCGATTAAAAAGATAATGCTTTAAGATTATCGATTTAGTTCGTAAACCGTAATTTACGAATAGATTTCGCACTTTTCAAATTGATTTTTATACTTAAATCAAAGTCGTTAAAAGACAACTTAATTAATCGTAAGCTTTTTTTAAAATCTTTTAATTTATCGGCGTTTATAAGGTCGTCAGCTCGGCGGCTTTTGCTTTTAAAAAAAGACTTAGCTTCGTAAGTCTTAGCTTTAGCATTTAATATAATAGCAAATCCTTTTTTAAATGCCGAAAACAACTTTTTCTTATGCTTAATAAAGTGTTTTTAAAATTAAGTTCGAGATATAGCAAAGATAACGATCAATTCTTTTATTACTCGAAGTTCGTTTTAATTTATTTTTTTAATTAAAGCTTCCGATACGTAATTAACGTAGTTTAGCTAGATTATAACGGCAAAAAGTTGATTTAATTTATTAATAACTTTTTATCGAAAGGTTAACAGCATACGTTTTAAAACGATCGTGTAAGCGTGCTTTATAAAGCTAACTCTATTTTTTAAAGTGCTATCGTTTAGCAAAGCGGTATAATTGTTAAAAAAGACCGCTTATTCGTAAAAAGAATTTTTAAAAGCGTTTATATTTAAAAAAACATTTTGTTTCGTAATAACGGATATAAAAGTAGCGAGATTATTAATTATAGCGAAAAGTTAACGTAGCGCAATATTCTTAAAAGCATTTAAGATCTTCGACTTAAATCTAAAAGCTTTTTATCTAATAATCTTTTTAAAAGTTATATCGTAAGTATAACTCTTAAGTTAAATAACTAAGCTTCCGATCTAATTCTTTACGCTATAAAGCATTAAATAGTAATTTAAAACTTTGTTTTTCATTCGTAAACCACGGTTCATAAGTCGTTTAATATTAGCGTCGTAGTTAATCGTAATCACTCGAACACTATTATTATATTTAAAGAGTTAAAAAGGTTCCGAGTAAGCAATAAGCTTATAATTTCCGTTTCGGCGATTAAGTAAAGCGGCAAAGTATAGCTTATAATAGCTTCGGAAGACTTGCTAAATCAAAGAGTATATTATATTAAAAAGTGTATTAATCGAAGCTCTTTTTGAATTACTAGTCCGAAAATAATGCAAGTACATTTAAATCTTTTTGTTTATAATAGTAAAAAAGGTCTAGTTGCCGTGCTTATCGTTTAAAAAAAAAGCTCTTAATATAAGCTAAACTTTCGTATAGCTATTCGTATTTATAATATTAAAAAGGCTGTTCT